TTGTCATGTGATGTGGAGGACCATTTTCATTATTTTGGCAAGAACAGGGACAGTTTTGTCCCAGCAAGCTATTAGATGAATACCAGAATGTGTCACATGAAAAACCACTGTTCTTTAACCCAGCTATCTACTTAACCAAGCCTAGAAATGAATACTGAATAAGGGAAGAGCAAAGGCCAGTTTACTGTCATTACAAATTAGAAAAACTGTTAACATCTGCAGCAAAATGAACTCTGGGAATTACAGGTACTATCCAGTAAGTCAGTTGAGGGTGCAGAGATTTAGGAAAACTATGTATACACATATGAGATCACCAACTGTGTATGTCATGTGTATGTATCGTTACTACTGAAAATTGGAACATTTGCATAGAGACATAAAGATTTTCTGAATCTTTTCCCAGTACCTTTAATGAATCCTGAGAATGAACACCAAATATAAGGAATGCTCCTTTAAAATAATCGATGGATTGTTATCATTAAATAGAAATGTAAATACTAAATCAACAGAAATAATAAATCTATGCTCACTGTTTTATCTTTTTTTTTTCCCCAGGAGTAGTCTCAGGGACACTGCTGCATGTACAGTTAATATAAACATTTATACTGAACTCCTAGATGTTTGAAAAACAAATACTGTAAAGATCAGTAACATTTTAAAATTATCAGTTATGGGAATTGATGCTTACAGAAAAACACCATTCTTTCTTGCCCTGCTAGTAGAATCGCATTGTCTCCCTACAGTCTTGTTAGCTCATACTAACTGAAATGCAAATTCTTTTCAACTAATTGGACCTCGTTGAACGTACATGAACAGTACATAGTTATATGCATGTAGATTTTTTTTACTAAATTCCTCTGTAATTATTTTCTTGATTAATATCTAAAGCAGAGACGTGGAACAAAAATCTCTTTAAAGAGTTTACATATTATTGAACATTAAAAAGATAGTAACTGTTGCATGTTTTAACAGCTTAATTAATAATACAGAATAATTGGAACAAAAAGAAGAAAATATTTTTTCAATGTTTAGTCATTTTGAACTATTTGCATTAACCCTTTGACTGAACCAATTAACACTTAAATGATTAGAATAATGGAATTTAGAAAAAATAAGGTACGTTTGCATTATATAGCACATTCTGCTGGCTAGATTTTCTTATTGGCATCACCTGGGCTTTCTGTAATCACCTTTCCTATCCTTTCTTGCCAGATGGTGCATTTCTGTATCGGTAGTTTTAACAGGAGAGACAAAATCAACTATGTTGTATTTCTAAAAGATTCACAAAGCCACACATATAATGTAATTGTCTGTGATAGTAAGTAATAAGTATTAGTTAAAATGAAAAGAAAAAACTCTGAACCTCACATACAGTTCACAAAGCACTTAAAATTCTCAAAAACACAAGTAGACAACTGCAACTGCACTCTGTTTTAAGTTCCATTAGAACCTGGATTCTGTAGCCACCTCTTCTATTCAGGACCCGGGTATTCCCAGAAGCTGAAAATGTAAAATAATTTCATGGATCCTTTTATCTTTCAGCACAAATGCCATTGGATAGCAGTAAAATACTTGCAGAACACATTCCTGATCAAAAAACTATTGAAAATGAGATTTTTTTTAATGCTTTTAAAAGGATTTGTTTTAAATGCTGTTAGAGCCCTTACCTTCTCTATACTGTTTCTGATCCTCATATGAGTTAGCCAAAGGGGGGGGAGAAAAAAATACTGTTCTACTCAGTTTGTGCCAAACTTGTATACTAACAAGAAGTTCCAGTGCTTCCCGCAGATGATTCGAAGAATATTTCTGCATCCAAAGGAATATAGCAATAAGCAGAGGGCAATAGATTACAAAGGGAAGGACTGACTGGGTTCTAAGCCTGGATTCTGATTATTACAATTTTTGCTAAATTTCATGTCAGTTTTGTTTCTTTTTTTGTTTCTTTTTTTTTTCCCCCATATTGCTGTACAGTTAGAGGAGGCTTAATCTGCTACTGTAGGAGGTGTACTTCTGTTGTATTTTTCCTGCAATGATTACTTTTTTCTCCTTAGTAACTACTACCTTTTCATTTCCCTATTTGAAATTCAGTAATTATTTGTTTTCTTGGTTTTATATGCTGGCATTATTGTGCCAGACAAGATGCTACGTAGGCACTGTAAATTTAAGGATGACCCTAGCTGGACTGGAACTGCAGACTAAATTTTGTTTCTTTTCTGTCATGTTAGGTGGGGGGAGACGGGGGACGGGGACAGGCAGGAATATTTCTTTCTTTAAAATGTTCTGAAGGTGTGATGTAGAAGTCACGCATTTGACAATTAAATGATAGTCCTTCTTTGATACAGTGATCTGAATGTGCTTAGATTTCATGTAGGGTTGTAGCATTCTGGTCAAGATTTCTGCTTGGGAAGACCAGATTTGGATGTATTAGCTAGTCAGCCTAATAACCCTGTACAGACTGTATTGATTTTCTAGGAGAGAGTTTATGAACTAAATAAACTTG